CAAGTAAAACGTATCCTTCAAGGAAATCCTCCGCGTTGCGATGTTTATCTACTGGAACACCCGTGCCACGTCGTGAGCTGCACCGCCACGTCGTGAATTAAGCTCTTATTATGAAATTATTATTTTCTTGTCTTCCAAGCCTCCCATGTTCCCCATTTTGTCACCTCTGGTCCCTCTCTTCGAAAATCCTTTGTATTGACTGAAAATAACAATTTAAACTCATAAATATCACTATTCTGCACATATTATCAATTTATTAATAAAAATGTACTTAAATACTGCCTAAAAATAAGTATAAATATGGCAATATCAGGCCGCATAGGGTTGTTGGATTTTAGAAGTGTTATACGCCAAAATGGTCCTGCCCTCCGGTGTTTTATGTCTGGCCCCTGTCTGTACATAGTAGTTGGAAAGTATTGTTTAAACGATTATATAATAATAATAATTATTATTATTATAATAATAATAATAATAATAATAATAATAATAATAATAAGACTAATAATTAGTCACGGTAATATTAGACTAAAATCTAGTGATGATAATACTAGGTTTCGTCAAAGGAAATTATTTTAAAGTAAACGAAGCGCTGTCCGAGTACCGAGTCACCACCTTCTCAGGTGAGTGCATAGTCCCTTTCATCTTACACATAGATATGAAATATTTTAATATAAATTACGTGCTATGTCTGCATATTGTCTGAATACTTGCTGTCTATGCTGAGTGAAAGATTTTATACATGTTTTAAATGATTTAAACCATATATGTATTTTATATCTACGAAAATGTTGGGGTAAAACATGGGTAGATATAATAGATGAAATATGAGTTGGATGATGAGTTGAGAGGTGATATAGACTATAAGGTGTGGGTGAGAGGTGTACGATGTGAGAAGCCTTTTTCCCAAACGATGTCCCCGTCATTCAGCAGAGTATGGATGACAACCACGGACTATCCTAGATAGTCCAGTGGAACACTATCAGGCTCGCAACCTGTAGGTGTTGTGAACGATGTGTTCACCCGGTGTACTCTAAACCTTGGTGATCATGCAGACTTGATACCTAGACCCTGGCGATCATGCAGACTTGGTGCCAAAACATTGGCGACTATGCAGACTTAGTGCCTATTGTATAAATTCTGGCGACTATGCAGACTTAGTGCCTAAACCCCGGTGATGATGGACTTCGTGTCGATTCCTTAGGATGATCCTTAGGAATGTATGAACGAGGAATAGTTGATTCTTAGGGTAGATCCTTAAGAATAAAGCAGATAATAGGGATGGGTAATTGGGTTGATTGTTTGATTGTTTGAAAATAATAATTATATTATTGTGGGTTGAAAACCCAATGTACTCACCAGGTTTCCCAACCTGACCCACTCAGTTTATTTATATCACAGGTGTTGATATGAAGTCACATTACACTGAGAGATTTAAAGAGATGTAGATCACTAGTGTAAATAAATGTAAGTTCTGTTTATGATTATGTTTCTGTATTAACGATGACATCCCAAATGTTTTAAAATGAACAAAATACGTTTCTTCGAAAATGTTTTAAAAACGTATTTATCATGTTTTTCTGGGAACAAATTCCGCAACATTTTTCTTAAAAGAAGTACTCTGATTTTTATAAAACATAAACAAAAATCGGTCTTTTCTGGCCGTGAAAATGGGAATGTCACACTCACTACGCTGGGCGTACGTCCAGCTTACGCTGGGCGTACCCAACCAAACACAAGCACGCATGCTTGGCATGCATGGGACCTTTTTACTAATTTCCTCTTAGGAACCATTGTTGCCCACTTCTTAATTTACAACCCCTCCTCCATCATAAGTCGTTCTTGCCAAACTCTAATTCCACATCAAGGGCCGAAACGCCCTTACTCTTGCTCTTGGGAACCCAAAATTAAATATTTCACGAGCGGGGCGTTACATGTACTGCACTCACATCGATAATCATTTCATGATTTAGTTCCCGTTGTTTTTGTGGTTATTTTGGTACATTTATGTGATATGGTTTAGTGATGTTAAAACAAATTTACCTTGGACTTTATGAAAAATGGTTTTTGAGATTTTACTTATCTTATACTATATTATAAAACATGCTAGTCGTATCTTGAATTTTAAGAGGTATAAGTTACAATTTTTTTTTTTATACAAATTAGTTATGCATAAATAATCCATTAATACTTGTCAAAAGTTTGAAGACTTAAAATTAAGAAAAGTAATTAAGAAATTCAATTTGAGCAAAATGAAAATATTAAATTAATGTATAAAAATGAATTTACATTTTTTAAACTGGACATCAATATTAATTAATTTACATCAATAGTAAAAACATACAGAATAAATATAAGATATAAATATAAATATTTTAATTAAAAATGACAAGTTTTTATTATATAATAATAATAATTATTTTCCCGTAAGAAACTATTTGCTTAAAAAGTTATTTATCGTCACTGTTTTGTGCGGTCACACATCTAGTGTTTTTAAAAAGAATTTGAGTTGAAATTTAGAATGGTACAATTGGTCCCTCATTCTTATAGTTTAATTATGTTGTAGTAATCTCGATGCAAATATATCTAAGGCTTTATAATGGTTCCATTGCTTTGATTATTGTTTTGAAAGCCATCAAGATCCAACATGTTTTATGTTTACAAGATCGTGATCATAAGATAAGATCGGGATATAAAGAAGTGACAAAACGAAATAAACTCCAAATTTGCAAACAAGTTGTGTTTGTGTGTTTGTAACTTTTGTTAATTAAGGCATTGATGGGGAACCAACAAAGCTTGTTAAGCAACGATCATAGTTCTTATAAATACAAACCTCAACAATTAGGACCAAAACATTTTAAACATAACATGGAACATAATCATTGTCACCATATACAACTAAAGACAAATAATCATAGAGGAATTAATTTGTGTGTCGCGATGCTTCACCTGATTTGAGATGAATACATGAAGTTGTGATGCTTTATTGCGTTTAGGGTTTTTAGCACTATAACACAAGACGAATTTACACATTTAGTCATTTAAGTATTTTTGTGTCTAATAGACCATTAAATTTGAATTTTAATTATACCATTATATAACCTGATACAGGAACAACCGGTTACTTGAATGACTAAATGTATAAATTCACCAAATTTTGTTGAGTTAAAGTACCAAAAACAAACCCACATATGTGAAGCCACATCAATATATCATCCGTAAACTGGATACAATTTCCTTCAAACCCTTAATTAGTCGGTATTTCCTAACTGTTAGGATGAATTGAGCACAAAAAATACTTACTAAATGTGTATATTCGTCAAACATTATTACGCAACAATGCCAAAAACCCTTATGTTTATGCAATTTGCAATGTGATTTCGAGTGACTAAATAATAATAAATAAATAAATAAATAAATAAATAAATAAATAAAAAGTAGATATACGGAATCAAGTGAAACAAAACTTACAATCCTGGTTTAATCCTAGGGAATATGACTTATCAAGGTAATTAACTTTTCGGTATGTTCACATTTGGGTAACTATCTTTTTTTTGTACATATGTAGGTAACAAACTTTTTGAAAGTGTTCACATATGACCATTATGACCTGCTATAGCAGGTTAAATCCTAGATGTGAACTTTTTTAACAAGTTTATTACCTAGATGTGTACAAAAAAAATAGTTACCTATGAACAAAATGAAAATTAAAAATTAAATTACATGAATGGTCCCTGTGGTTTTGGGGGGATTTGTGGTTTTTATCCCTAATTTATTTTTTTAATTTAAATGGTCCCTACTATTTATTTTTATTGCGCGTTTGGTCCCCATCTTACCTAAAAATACTATTGTGCCCTTATTAGTTTATTTTTTTAATTAATTTTCTTATCTATGTGTTTATTTTATACATATTTAAAAAAAATTAATAGACCACACATATTTGTATCTCCTCGGATGATCTCTACTGTTTATTTTTAATTAATTTTTTTTTTTTTAACTTGGATGATCTTTACTGTTTATTTTTGTTACGCGTTTGGTCTCTGTCTTATCTAAAAATACTATTTTTCCCTTATTAATATTTTAAATTAATTTTCTTATTTATGTATTTATTTTTTATAAAAAAAATTAATATACCCCACATATATGTATCTTATCACCGTAAACCTGAAACCACATTTGAGAAATTTAATTTGAGTCTTTTCATTCACCATCTCATCTCTGATTCTCCCCATCTTCTATTTATTTTCCATCTTTAGTAACATCAACGTCTTCACCATCCTTTTTTTTGGTACTTCAACTCTGGAAAACCAACACCATAACCTACTGTCTCTTCATATTTAGTGGGTTGTGGTGTTGTTTCGACAGATTTAAAGGACCGAAAAAAGAAGTGATGATGAAGATGTCGATATCACTAAAGATGAAAAATAAATAGAAGTTGAGAATGATGAAAGATGGGATGGTAAGGAGATACAGATATGTGAAATCTACTAATTTTTCTTAAACATATAAAGCATAAGTATATAAACAAGAAAATTAATTAAAAAAAATTAATAAGGGCACAATAATCTTTTTAGGTAAGACAGAGATCAAGTTCGTAACAAAACTAAATAGTAGGGACCATCCGAGTTAAAAAATTAAATTAATTAAAAAATAAACAGTAGAGATCATCCGAGGAGATACAAATATGTGTGGTATATTAATTTTTATAAATATGTAAAAAATAAACATAGATAAGAAAATTAATTAAAAAAAATAAATTAATAAAGACACAATAGTATTTTTAGGTAATATGGGGACCAAACGCGCAACAAAAATAAACAATAGGAACCATTTAAGTTTAAAAAAATAACTTAGAGACCAAAACCACAAATTCCCCCAAACTACAGGGACCATTCATGTAATTTAATTTTTACTTTTCGTTTTGTTGGTAACTATTTTTTTTGTATACATCTAGGTAACAAACTTGTTGAAAGCGTTCACATTTAGGATTTAACCTGTTATAGCACAGATCATAATGGTCATATGTGAACACTCCCAAAAAGTTTGTTACCTATATATGTAGAAAAAAAAAATAGTTACGCAGATGTGAATATACCGAAAAGTTAATTACCTTGATAAGTCATATTCCCTTAATCCCAAAATGTGTTCAGGATAACAGGATTTTATTTTTAAAATCTGAAAATTGCAAAAGAGAAGTTGATTAGGAAGGTGAATGTGATTTTTGTTCTAAAAGGTAACAGCATCAAAAGATTCCATGTCCCATGACATTTACCAAACTACCCTTCATACCATGCCATTAACATTTAATATTTAACTGAAATGACGTCAGACCTAAAAAAGATACAATACGACCCTAGCGGCAAGCCCTGGTTCTTGGCATGTTGGCTTTCTCCATCGATACACGTGGCCTCTTCCTCGCCGTTTGATCTTGGTTCTCCATGAACTCCCTCAAATCGTCACCGAACATCTCCACAAACGTCTTTTGCAAATCCTCTAGACTTTCCACCTGATTTTCTCTTAGAATTAGTCTAATTGCAAATAAAAGGTCAAACCCATTACTATTCATTTGTTTCTTATGATGACATTTTATGTTTATTTCTTCATATCACTAACATTTCTTTTTTCTAAAATATTTCTTCAGCCATTATAATACCAACTTAAAAACAAGCAATCTTTAAATTATTGCTTTAAAATATGATATCCAGATAAATAAAAATCTGAAATATATTCCAATAAAATTATTTTGTATTTAAATGATACTTACTATAATCATATTGATTTTCAAAAACATAATATTTTAACAAAAACTGAAAAAATGGTATGATAAACATTATACTTAACCCTAACCCTAAAATGTATGTAAAGACCATTTTACCCTCAAACCTAGGGGAAGATCCACAGTTCTTACCTCAGCCCCAGCGTTTTGGTCCATCATCTTCATCAGATCATGCAAAAAATCTCCCATGCCCTGAAACGTAAATTCATATGCAATTCGAATTAAAAAGTGTAGAACATTTTCACGTTGACCGAACGAAACGGCAGCGTTTCAATTCTCGTGATAATTTGGAAAATAATATAATATTATGCATCGGATAAAAATATCTAGATATTTTGAATGAGTTTCTTACTTCTTTGTCATCGATGTCGTCTAGTAAATCAAGAGCTCCGGCGTCGTAAATCGACCTTTTTGTTTGATCCGATAACACTGGCACAAAAATTGTAAGATGTATTAACATTCAATCGAATTCAACAAATAGGATAGCAGAAAAATGGAGTTGAATCAAACAGTGGTTGTAAATAAACATCACCTGAATAAGCCTCCTGGATTTTCTGAAACTTCCGGTTAGCATCTCCGGCGAGCGACGGAGTTTTTGCCCACTTGTCCGGATGCCATTCCTAATAAACGAACACAATCAAACGATATCAGCATTACGATTTGTATGTCTAGCGACATAATCACGTAAGATACAATCAAATTTTGGGAAATAAATAAAACTTTGTTGATAATTCGAGAATGACAGGAGGAAAAGAGAATATCGATTAACCAGGGCGAGCTTGCGATACGCAGATCGAATCTCAGAGGATGAAGCTTCCTTACGGATTCCGAGAACAGAGTAATAGCAAGATCCGTCCATGGATTTTCCCTCATCCATGATTCCTTCTCTTCCACTAATAATCTCAGGAACGATGGAAAGATTTGGGGGAGGGATAATCCAGGAGAACCACAGTTCTTATTTATGTCGAAATCGTAACAGCAATTTACTCACACCCTCAATCACCATATATCTTTTTCCGTTGGAGAATTTAAACTGATATCGAGTTCTTGAGGCAGGGAGGATTAGATGTAATTGCTTGAGATATTTGGGGAAAAAGAAGGAAAAGATTCACTCGGGCCCGAAATCATCCGCGCTGCAGAGTTATTCTTATTTTAGACCCTACACTTTGTGGAATTTGACTTTTTAGGTATTGTGTATTTTTTTTTTCAAGTAGGTATCTTGGTGGGTAATGAAGAAATAAATGTTTTGCACTAAATGAATCACTTATCAATTAAATACGTAATAGTTGATGCTTATGTGTATCAATGTTTTTTCTTTATGCAAACAAAGAATAAATTGTTATATGGATGTTGACTGTTGAGTTGTGTGATGAACAATTAATAGTTTCAACTAAGTTTAATCATTATGATGAATAATGAGTGTGATCGGTTAAATTTGTAATTGTTGATTTTGTGTATATATCTTAATCCTTATTTTTATAAAAACAGATAATAAATAGTTGAATGAATGGTTGAGTTGTATGATGAACAATTAAAATGTTTCAACTGATTTTAACCGGTATTCCTAAAATAAGATAGTGATATTGTAAAAGAAACCTAGGTAAGAAGCTAACACCATTATGTTATCTAGTTTTCATTAGGGTTAAAATTGCTTGTTAAAGAGATCTTAGATATAGAGTGTAATAATTATTGGAAAATCACATTGTCATCTTACATCATAATATTAATCTATTGTATAATTTTTGTGTTTCAATTGTCGTTTGGCTTGAAAGGTTATTGTATGAAAAGTACTTCAATATACAAAATCTTTATATTTTGGTAATGTTATAAAATATCATTTTATCTATCAACCATAGATTCTCAACATCCATAATCGAGTTTATTCGAATTTTCTATATTTTAATCAACTACTTTTGTTAACAAATGTTAAATTAAACAAGGAGATGTTAACTTAAAGGAGAGCATCCCACATACTTGTAACATGATAATCGAACTGCTAAAACCACTTCTTGTTTTGGAAGAACTATAAAACTCTTCTAGTTCTCTCACATCCATATGCATGCATAAATAGTATCCTAATCAAGATATATCAACAATGGCATGTTCAAGACCACATGCCCAAGAGCCAAAACAATCGTGATCTTTTTTTTTTCTTTGTTATGTTTATTATGAAACATTTAACAACTGATTCAAGCTTCCTACGCCTTCTTAGAGCTTTAGGGTACATTTGTTGGTTATAGTTCAGGGTTCATTCAGGATGAAAAATATCTTAAAGGACTTAAATGAATAAAACCATAACCTAATGGGCTAAAAATTGTCAAATTAGCCCAAAAGTACGGGTGTGACTCGGAAGAAACTTCGAGAGCTTTGAAGCTAGAGGAGATATTTTTATTGGGGAGGTTAATGTTGAACCCTAAACATACATCAAATTACAAAAATGCCATACTTTGAGACGTATTCATCCAGCTATCAGATCCGGAGATCGCTTACGTCTAAATTTGTTAGGGGCAAACCTCAATGTCCATGGATAAGCATTTGAACTACTTGTATAAGTTGGGAGAAGTCAGTTTACCTGGGAATTAAATTTTTTAGCTCTGGAAACAGGAATCAACTTACACGTGCTGTTTAGACCAAACATTTTGTTGGTTAAGGTTTTCTTAGTTTTTGTTCCTTATTTTCATTGATGAGAAGATATTAATAATATCATTTAGGTTAGGAGGTAATTGTGTTCTTTTAAATATAATAATAATAGTTTTGTAAATTTTAATTAAATAAATACTAGGTGTGAGATTCATATATTATACGGGATAATTTAAAAAAAATTAAACATTAAAATGTAAGCAGTAAATATTTTTTATGTAAAACTTTAAAATAAGAAAGAAAGAAACATATTCATTTCAATATAATTTCATATATATTATATTTAATACTTTACATATATAAATATATGATTTTAATTTTAAAAATTGAAATAAACCAGAAATTGACAACTGGATAATATTTACTTCAAAAATACCACAAAATAGCAAGTGTCAAAATTTATAAGAGATTAACAAGTGACAAAAAAAAAAAAAAACTTTCATTTATTAGAGGAGATAATAAGAATATATTAAAGAAATTGTCCTTAAGGTAATGTGGTTATTTTAATCATTTTTTCCCGTTATAATTGGAAATTAGGCCAGGTTCGGGTTGATGGTTTAGAAATCATCAATCAAATCCAACCCATATATGCATTTAGGTTCGTGGGGCGCAGGTGACGAGTTCATTGATTAGAAATATTAGCTCAACCCAATCTACATAAACCTTTTAATTAGACAAACTAGTAAAATTGGTCATTGTGGTTTACGAAAAATTTTAGATAAGATCTAAAAAAATTTCAACTTGCATTGAAGGTCCAAAATCAAAAACTTCCTATGATTTTGGTCTAAAGAAACTTGAAAAGATGGTTATGCCATTTTATTTTATTTTTGTATTTTTATAATTATTCTAATATATATAAATATATATATAAATATATATATATATATATATATATATATATATATTGTATTTTTTACTTTAAAAATATAAAGAAAAGAAAAAAAATTATCCACCCACCCTCACCGTTCTCTCTCTCTCTCTCTCTCTCTCTCATCCTTCTAACCCACCTTCAGAGATAGCATAATTCATAAAGTTGGGTTTACTCTATGAGTGGAACAATAGTAGGAATTTCATTGTCTGATTTTAGAGGAGATGAATTTGAAAGCTTGTTCGACGGACCCTCTCTCGCAAATCCCTCTTTGACACACGATAACCCCCATTTGTACTTCAACATTTTGCTCTCAACTCCTTATCTGTTATGTGATCTAGTTCTCCCTTATATTACCAAAAACTTTGCAGGTTTGATTTGTAGGTTTCATCATCTCTTCTTCAGCTTTTTTTTGGTGTGTGTGTGTGTGTGTGGGGGGGGGGGGGTAACAATATCACGAAAATCAACTCTAAGTCACCTCTAAAATTGCACCAGGAGATCAAAACACCAAAATGAAGGCATACATGTTGTTAGGGGCAGGATCCTTAACAATTATATTCAAGATCCTTAAACATATCTTAGGATCCTGATTATTATCGTTAATATTTACTAACACTTACAACGACTATATTCTACTTTCTTTTTCTCACATGTGCAGAATTAGTCCACTAAGGACTTATTCTCATTGGAGAATCGTCTCAACCAGGCAAAAGACCCGAAATACTAAGTCAAACAACGTCCGTATGCTGATTCTCGAAGGATCCCAGAATTATCAGACTTCTTGTTATTAGCATTAAACTATAAATAACACATGTAACTAGCACACTATACACACGATTACCTCATATATGATACTTGTACTTACATTACACATTCATCTTTGTAATTAACATTTTTAATCAATAAAATCGTCATGACATGTGATCAGTATCACCTCCCAAGGTTTTGTGTCGGAGATCCTAGCAGGGATCTTGGACTTTCCTTGTAAACCATTGTTTCACCTTATCTACCATTTCATACTTGTTTTACCTCGAAAATCATAACCTCTCATTCAATTTGGTTGAGTTTCACTTGTGTACTTTTTGACCAAAACAATTTGGCGCTCATTGTGGGGCTATGGTGTTCAAAACCTTTCGGAAAATCATGTCCACGCAATCGACCCTTTCTTATTCCTTAATTCCTCCCATTTCCTCCAAAAACCTTCCACCACCTCCAGCTGGAGGTCCCAAAAAGACTCCTGATGTGCCGAAGAAAAACACTCCTCCAGTCACCACTCAAGGACCCCAGGATCCTCCGGTAATAGTCTCCAACAACGAGCCTTTTGCCATGATGAGGAGGCTAGAACAACAGGTGACTCAACAATAAAAGGATAACAGGACGATGCTCAAGGAAGTGGAAAAAATGAGGGCAGACGTTCCCAAACCTCAGGAAGTTACACCCTCGATCCTGCAACCCAGGATCCTAAACTTCGACATCGTAGGATTCTCCGGAAATCGCCGGGAGATAGGATCCTCAGTACCAACATCCTCTCCTGTCTGGGGTGCAATTCCTGACAAGTGATCTCATATGACCCATGATCCCAATGAAACCTTCCTTACGCAAAATACAAAGGATCATGGTAACTTCATAAATAATAATGATTTTAACACTGGCTCTATGGACCTGGATACAGGTTTAGACCTGATCATGGATAAGGAACTTCAACAATTAAGGCAAATGATCTTGAGCATGCCCGAAGTGGTCTAACCTATACCAGAAGTATGCCCCACAAGCCACAAGATCTCAAGATTTGTTCCGACAGTAACTAATACGAAGTCTCAAAGCGCTTCCAAACCCCAACATGAAGCCTTATAATGGGACTACAGATCTTGAGGAGCACATGGCACAACACAGGGAAAGAATGGAGATCATCCCTATTCCCACACACTTAAATGAAGCCTACCTATGCAAGGGTTTTGGTTCAACCCTCACAAGATCAATTTTAAAGGGGCTTCTTAACGTTCCTCCTTACTTTATTACTTCGTTTGCTTACTTAGCCATTTTATTTAACAATCAATTTTCTTGTAGCAGAATATTCGAAAAGATCAGTTTATCGAGTGGTTCAGGATCCTAAGGAATCCCTTAAGACTTTTGTGAATAGGTTTGGCAGGGAATCTCTGAGTATCCCCAACATTAACAGGACGACTGCAGTTGAAGCCTTTAAAATAGGATTGAAGAAGGACTTTCCTTTATAATGACTCCATGCAAAAGGATGGACGAAGTTAAGATCAGAGCACTAAGGTTCATAAGTCTCGAAGAAGACAAGGAGATCCAAAAGAGGAGCAACCCACCAAGCTCATATGATCACCCCAATAGGAAGTCCGACTCATAGGGTTAATGTAACACTGTAAATTTTCAAACCAAAATACACAATTATCCCATTTCAAAAATCATAGAAATGCCACAAATATCAAACCATCAAAACACATGTACAAAAGTTGTATATCAAAAATCTAGGATCCTCCCAAAACATAACTTTAACTCAGGTGTGTGTACAATCAAGTCGGCACCTTCCCGTGATCCTGAGGAGTATCTGAAACACATAACACATAACACGGTAAACACGAAGCTTAGTGAGTTCCCCAAAATACCACACACAACTCATTAACCACTCGAGGCTATAACTCAATAAGACTCTCTGTTCAA